AAATAAATAAATAAATAAATAAATAAATAAATATTTGAAAAAAAAAAGAGTGGTCTGGACTCCAGGGAGAGCCTCCCTAAACAGTGGTCTTGGTAAGTGTTCATCTTACCAACTTCACTAACTGGAGTCCGCTAGGATTACTGCAGGTGTGTTAATTCCATAGCTTGGGGAATGGGCTTTTTTCATGGTGGTGGTGCCAGTGTCTCACTGTGTATGCTGTATATCTGGCTGACCGGAACTCAAGTTTGTAGACCAGACTAGTTTTTTTATTAACTCTTTTATTCTCTTTTAGGAACCTGACAGGAGACTCCGGCGTCAAACCAGAGAACTGTAAGTGCAGCTGGCATGCCTCTGCCCTTAATGATGCTCAGCTGTAGTATCACAGCTGCAAGTGAGGGGCTGGTGCTGAGCACTGTTGTATTTTGGTGGTCTGTGGAAAGTTCTGAGAAAAGCCAGAACAAGGTGTGCTGGAGAGATGACTCCGCCGTTAAGAACACTAACTACTCTTCTGGAGGGTCTGGGTTCTGTTCCTGATAACCACATGGAAGCTAACAACTGTCTTTAACTCCAGATTCCAGGGGATCAGACACCCTCTTCTGGCCTCAGATACATGTTGACAAAATACCCACATGCCTAATATATTAATAGCTGAAAACAGACCAAGGCACACACAGTGAGATGGCTCATCTGGCTAAGTACTTGTAATATGTCTGACAATTTTGAGTTCAATCCCTGGAACCCACACAATAGAAAGAGACCCACTCCTGAAAGTTGTCTTCTGACTTCCATATATGTGTCTACACTCGCATTATACAGATAACTAAAGTTAAATGAAGCTGGGCATAGTGGGACACATCTGTAATCTCATCTTGGGAGACTGGAAGCTAAGGCAGGAAGGTTGCCATGAATTCGAGGCCATCCTGAACTACAGAGTGAGACACTGTCTCAAAAAAAAAAAAAGAAAAAGGGCTGGAGAGATGGCTCAGTGGTTAAGAGCATTGCCTGCTCTTCCAAAGGTCCTGAGTTCAATTCCCAGCAACCACATGGTGGCTCACAACCATCTGTAATGAGGTCTGGCGCCCTCTTCTGGCTTGCAGGCATACATGTAGACAGAATATTATATACATAATAAATAAATAAATATAAAAAAAACTTAAAAAAAAAAAAGAAAAAAAGAAAAAAATTGGAGCATGTGGTACATGCNAAGAAAAAAAGAAAAAAATTGGAGCATGTGGTACATGCCTTTCATTCTAGCACTCAGAGACAGAAGTGGATCTCTGCAAGTTTCAGGTCAGCCAGAACTACATAGACTCCATGTCTCAACAACAAAAAGTCTGACTACCCTCACAAAAGTGACTAGTCGCCTTTGACCTTCTGACTCAGGTCTGGCCTCCCTGGTCACACTGAGTGGTTATATAAGTTAGCTTGTACTCAGAGTGCTGGCTGATAGTCCCAAAGCTCAGCAGCTTAGCAGCTTAAAGCTAAGCATTTATTGAGCTCACTGGAGGCTTGCTAGCTGGCTGCTGATCCTGGCGGGGACAGTGGGCTGACTTAACTGTCACCTTGAGCATATTATTGTGGTAGTGATAGGCACAGGTGGGTAGTGCTGGTCTTTTCCTATTTGTTCGTTGTGAATTTGTTGGGATGTTTTTAATAGATAGTCTCTCCTGTGTATCCCAGGCTGGCCCAGACTTGATCCTCCTGCCTCAGCATCTGGAATGCAGGGATTGCAAGCCGGTTCCACTAGATCCAAATAGAGGTGATCCTTTTTCTTTGACACGTGAAATGTAGCCAGAGGCCAACATAAGCAGCTTCCTCATTGCACCTGTTCATTCAGGCAGAAGCTCTTGATTGAGTCTAGGGGTCACTGGTAGGACTAACCTTAATGAGCCAACTTGCTCTGGGGTTCCCCTGCCACAGCCTTCTAAATGCTAAAACCATGGGTCGTACACAACCAGTGTTTACGTAGTGTATTGGGCAATTTGAACTCTAGTCCATATCTGAGCTATTTTCCCAACCTCAGAGATAGGGTTGGGTTTTTTTAAATTTTTCTGTTTTTTTTTTTAATTCAAATTTTAATTTATTGTGTTTATGAAATTTTTTATTCATTTTTATTGAGCTCTACATTTTTCTTTGCGCCCCTCCCTGTCTCTCCCCTCCCCTTCAACCCTCTCCCAAGGTCCCATGCTCCCAATTTACTCAGATCTTTTTTTTTTTTTAAGACTTATTTATTTATTATGTATACAACATATACCTTGATGTATGCCCGCAAGCCAGAGGAGGGCGCCAGACCTCAGTACAGATGGTTGTGAGCCACCACGTGGTTGCTGGGAATTGAACTCAGGACCTCTGGAAGAGCAGCAAGTGCTCTTAACCTCTGAGCCATCTCTCCAGCCCTACTCAGGAGATCTTGTCTTTTTCTACTACCCATGTAGATTAGATCTTGTTTTTGTTTTTAAAGCTTCTGTTAATACCCACTTGAGTGATGCAATATTGAAGTCCCAGGTCCAGAGGACAGCAAAATATCTGACCTGAGAGCGGGGTTGCTACAGTTGGACTCTGTGAGGCCAGCCTTTGTGCTTGCTGATGCTGACCACACTCCAAGTCCTTTCATCTCAGCAGTGTTCACAGGGCAGGTGCAGACAGTCCTTTCAGGCCCTGAGTGCCAGTGGAGCCCTACTGATGATTTCGTCTTAATCTAAAGAACTGAGGGGTGTGACTCATAGATCCAGGGCACTCATGCATGTATTCATGCTACAGGTTGCCTGCAGAGGTAAGAGGGCTGCTCTCCAGATTCAGTTCGTAGCTACCATGGTGGATTGCGGGGATCACTAAGATCAGGCTTATGTGTCAAATCCTTTATCTGTTTAGCCATCTTGTTGGTCCCAATTGAGTTCTTGCCATCAGTTCATGATGAACTAGGTTTGAGCTCCAGTTCTGCAAAAATATATAATATAAAGTCATATAAAGGATAAACAGGTGGAGGATAGGAAAGATTCCCCTCTTGTTGAACTCTGAGAGGTTGTCACTTAAGCCATCCCTGCTTGGATGGTGCCTAGAGTCGTGGTCACCAGTGTTCATGTGAGTTTTTCTTTTGTTGTTTTATGTGGCAGATCATCAAGGCGGAGATCAAGGGAGGAGCCGGACAGAGAAGCAAGACCAGGAACTCATGAGGAAATGGACGATGATGAAGATGAAAAGGAAGAGTCCTTATCTAACTTAAATGGGCTTTGTCTGTGTGCTCCTACTGGATTGGTAGAGATGCTGGGCAGGCTTCTGGGTGCAAAATCATCTATCTCACTTGTTACTCTGGACTTGCCTGGTCTCCCTTGGGTGTTGGTTGTCACTGCATGTCTGAGCCTGTTTGCCTGGACCAAGGTGCTTGTGAAGTCCGTTTCCGTGGAGACCTGGCCCACCTAGCGTTGAAGTTTTTTGAGTTTTTAGTTCAAGCCCTCTCCCTTAAGTCCTAAGTGCAATTCTTGACTCCCCCCAACTTGCTTACCTGAGAGCACCCTCACAACCTAAACAAGTCTGGGAAAATGGTGCACACTTGTAATCTTAGCATCAGAAGGGTAGAGACAGGAGTAGGAATTTCATCTCCTTAGCTAAAGATGAGGATCAAGGCCAGCCTAGGCTATTGGAGACTGTCTCAAAACGACAAAAATCTTCCATTCAAGGTTAAAGCATACAGTTGGAGGGTGGTGTAAGGATTCTCTGTAACACATATTGAGGTTGCTGTGTGAGCAGCCCAGTGTTTGCCTGGGTCCTCATGACTTCCACAATCTCCTCTAGTACATGTGTGTTACCTAGTACTCAGAATGCTGTTTACTTTACTATTACAGTATTGTTTAGGGAACATAGCAAGGACAGTCTGTGTGGGCTGAGGATAGTTTTCTGAGCCTCTTGCGCCTGCAATTGGTTGAATCTCCAAGACATGGAAGACTTGATAGCTCGAGGTACCAAGGCCTCTGATAGGGTACAACACTCAGTTTGTGGATTCCTGCTTTACGGAACTCTAGAGCAGTAGATGAGGTCACACACTCGTGTCTTGGGTCTCCACCTTAGGAGATGTCTGAGAACTGTCCCTGGTTTCCTCCACTGAGATTTAGAGTGGAGACTGAACCAGTGTGAGTTCTCAGTGCTGGTCTCATGTCACCCCAGGGTGTAGAAATGCCTTCCGTACCTCCCTTTCTTTGCCCACTGTCAGGGCTTGCCTCATGTCAAGGAGCTCTTGTTTATATTTTATTTTCTCTGTGTGTGGGTGCTTGTAGACATCAAGAGGACAGCTTGTAGGAATTGGTTTTGTGTCCACTGTATGGAACCCTGAGATTGTCGGGTTTATGTGCGAGTGCCAAGTCATCTTGTTGGCTGAGCTTTGTGATGGGTTCTCGCTATGAAACCAGAATGACTTCAAGCTTGCGTGTCCCTTGCCCAGAGTGCCTCACAGCTGCCCTGTAGAAAGGGAGGGCTGAGGTTAACACTCACCCTGATTAGTACATCAGTGAGGTGCACTCTACGTGCTCAGAAATTGCTAGACTGTGTCTAGATGTATACTTTCTGTTTTGCTTTTTGTTCTATTTTAAACAGTCTCACTATGTAGCCAAGGGTCACCTTGAACTCTTGGTTCGCCTATCCCCCACTGCAGCCCTCAGTGATGGGATCACAGGTCTGTGCCACCACTCCCAGCTCATGCTGAGCTGAGGGTGGAATCCAGGACATCTTGCATGCTTGGCAGGCACTTGACTCACTGAGTTTCAGACCCTGTTTGTTTTTGAGACAGAATCTCACTATGTAGTCCTAGCTGGCCTAGACTAACTCATGTGTTAACCAGGGTGGCTTCAAATTCAGAGATCACCTGTGTCTGCCTCCCAAGTGATATGATTAAAGGTGGATGCCGCTGCTCTCAGCTGTGGTTCTTCTGTTTCTGTTTTAAGGCAAGGTCCGTGTTGACTTGGGCATAAGGAGGCTCCTGCTTTTCCTCCAAGTGTTAGGTTACAGAGTTCTTTAGAAGGTTCTTTAGTGCCTGCTGATTTGCAGTATTGGGGAAATGGGGGACACAGTCTTAGCCTCTGGTCCCAGGAGAGAATGTCTCCTGATGTTCAGAACCAAGATGCTGACCCTGCACACTTGAGCTTGAAGTCACCCTGCTTAGCCTCTGAAATCATGTTTCCCCTCTCCTCCATTTTCTTACTGTCAGGATAAAAGAAGGCCCAGGCCCAGAAGTCAACCCAGAGATCTGTAAGTGTCAAAAGTGCTTGTGTCTTGCTGTCGTGTTAACTCCGAAAGGCTCTGTTAGGGAGAAGTACAGAACTGACCTGCTCATCTGTGTGGGGCTTAGCTCCATCACCTTGCTCATTAATCCGTGGGGGTCCCCTGGGCCATCTGCAGACCCTTCAAAGGAATTCTGCCTTGAGAGTCTTCATGACTTCTTGGTTTGGGCTTGGGAGTGTTTAACTGTGTCTCATGGGGGAGGTATTCATCTGTCATTTCCAGAATAGTTATGCTGGAGTTGGGTTGTCAAAGCTAATGTTCCTTGTTCACAGAGCCACCAAACGAAGACCCGAGGAAGCAGAATCAGAGCAGATAGCTTCAGAGTCTGAGGAAGGAGATGAAGAGGAAAGGGTAAGTAAGAAGAGCCTGGCTATTCTGTTTCTTAACTTTCTTAAAAGAAAGGGAGGGAGGGAGGGAGGGAGGGAGGGAGGGAGGGAGGGAG